ATTTCCTTATTAAATTTGAATTATGGAAATTTTTACATTTTTGCTTATACCCAAATATAGACATAAGAAATGGGATCTATAATTGATTAGTTTCTTATTTCTCTTTGCATACAAACCCCATTGCTACATTAAGGTTGGCATTGGCTCTTCAGTTATTTCAACAGAGCCCACATTTTAGTCTATATATATCATAATAACATGAGTCTTGTCCTGTAGTTCTTTGGGTAATCTGCCCACACATCTGTCTTCTACTTGATCTCTCTCATCCTCTCCTGAGAGGGTGAAGATGATCTGCTGGAGTGTCTTATTTGACAGAAGGTTTGTTTTGTTTTCTGTAGATGTCTTGCCATGACAGTTAAAGAAGGTGTGGCCAAATTTGTTATAGGTTCATCAATGTACTACAGTTTCTGTAGGGAGGATTCCAGGGTAGCTGTAGCTTTCTTGTGCTAATTTTTTGATTTGGCAGCAATTACATCGTATTCTCTCACATACCTTTTCATTAATAAAGTCTCTCTTAATAAACCAAAAATGTAAAGTCCTTTCTAATGTTTAGATTTTCTCTTGAAGATAGAAGAAGCTGAAAACACAAAACATTTCTCATAAATTAAATGTTGTGGGAAATGGCAAATTAGATACTTCATCTGAATCTTTTATGTGGTTCAGCACTGGATCGTCTTTAGGTTATTCTCTTTCTTTTTCTTTGGATAGACTTTCAAACCCTCCAAAAAAGTTAAGTCAGAATCAGTACATTCCCACAAAGTTCCTTATTCATTGGGTTAGTAAACAGCAACAAAAACATCTTTTCAGAGAAAACTTTCAAATCCCCTGAATCACCACTTAGTTTTCCAGCAAGGTAGTTTTATTGTTGGGACTGCAAAAGGCAAAATCCTAGTGTGAAACATAAACAATGACTTACCATTTTTGGTAGCACATTGTATCTGTCCTTTTGATTTTTACTAATGCTCAGCCTGTAAAGATAGTTCAGGATGGTGTCAGCTGGGTGTACATGCTGTAATAGTAAGCCTGTAATGTCTGTAGCGGCATATGAAAGCTCACAAACTTCTCATCTAAACTCCTTTAACAACATCTCATAAGGCACTCTCAGATATTTGCAGCCTTGTATTTACATGGTTCAGTACAGATGATGGTGTAAATTGACATGTTGACTAGTATTGACTTGTGACTAAAAACAGTTATGAAGACAACCAATGTCACCTCATTGGTTGCAAAATGTTAATCCGTCCATTTAATACTGGAATCTGACAGAGATTCTGAAAGACAGTGGAAATCCGCAGCCTTTTCTGCATGAGGAGATCTCGCTGGCAAACAGTCTGTTGGCATAGAGCAGCTAGCAAGTTCTTTTGGCAGAATGAATTCACATTTGGCTGCTTCTGTTGGCAATATATTTCTTCATGGCTTCAGATTGTATTGGCAAAATATATGTAGCATGTAAAAGGATCCTGGTAACTGTGTCTGTGATGCTGTGCAGTACTCGTCTTGAAGCCAAATCCGCTAACTATTAATTCTGGACTTGTTAGGGTGTCATTATTGCTGAATCTGGGGACACATGAAAACAGCTGGTTTTCCAGCAGGAAAAATACTGGGTAGCACTGGAGTTCTAAAGCTGATTCAAGAGTGTCCTTGCTGCTATGTGGATAAGCTCTGTGCCTGGCTAATTCGGTTCTCTGTGCAGATAAGATGGTTCCTTGTCTTTTAGCTGTGTCATTGCTTGCTGTGAAGGGTGATGGGGTTTGTGGGCAGTCTGAGGTTAGGGAGCTTAACAGAGAGCATTGTGATGGTATACACTATCCAGATGGTGATTATTTTTATTATTACACATGCAGATATTCTTTATTAATTAATTTGGAGGGATTTCCATGTAATAGGAAATAACATAAAGCTGGATTTTCAGAAAATAGACCTTTGTCAAGCTTAACTTACAATATGGGCAGTGCCAAGTGCTGACCTTGGCATCTCTAGCTGCTTCTGAGTAGGAAGATTTGTAGTAGATCTTCTCTTTCTTTGGTGTTCAATACTGCTATAAAACAGTGAGGAAGATGATGTAGATCTTTGACTAAAGGGGATTATTTTTCATGCTGTATTGTGCATTCTGGGTTGCTAGTATTTCAATTTTCTGCTCAGGAATGCAGCTTAGTGTGTTTCATTTTGTAGCATATATTCATGCAGTTTTCGGTCTTTCAGTTTTTGTAACAAGACTCAGCAATGGGAGGGAGTTTATGTTCCCAATTTAGAAAAGAGAGCTTCTCTGATCTATTTCATTCCCATCCACCGTGTAAAATATTCTACATGTAGAGTGTTCTACACGGTGAGGCATACCCTCCAGATCCATGTCAGTCCACACAGTAGGATCTGATAGCTTAGAAATCCTAGAATAGCTTTGAATATCTGTGATTCCACTGTCCATTTAGAGCTCATCATGGAGGGACTCTGGTTGCCCAGGACTCTGCAAATGGTGGAAAGTGTAGCAGCTATAACAAAAGGCCTCTGAGAGGAATGAATGTGTGCCACAGGCTCACTGGTGGGATTCATCTTACCAAATGCAGACAGTTCCTCGTCTGGACTTCATTTATTGTGTATGGAGGGAAACAGGCATTTCTAGGGCTTGGCTTTTTTCATTTTGCAGCACAATTTATCTCATCCCGATGTCAGTGTCTAAAATAAGCTGGATGAATCACTTGTTAAATGCCTGTTTTCTCCATTGATTTTAAAGGAGGCCTCAGATGACTCTTTCAGCTCTAAAAGTCTATGCAGTAGCTGACCAAAGCTGGTTGTAATAGGTTGCCTTTTATTGTAATGGCAGCAGGCCAAGGGAGAACTTACGTCGCTTGGGGGAACTGGTTTAGCTTTCTCAGCTTTTTGCCCCCGGTGTTCTCAGGGAGACTGGAAGTGGAGCAGGAATGCACACAGACTTGTGCTGGCTGAAAGTTATTTTTCATGGTTAAGAGTTCTTTATTGTCTAATGACTGTTCCAGAATCAAGTATTGGATTCATCCATGCCTCGAGTTTTCAGTGTTTCAACCTGTCTTCCTGGGTTGAGTTTTTTGAGCTTATTAGGAAAGTAGACTTCACGCTGCCAGATGCACAGTGGGTATTTTTGGAAAAGATGCTACTGGCTGATTATCTGTATTTCCAGGATTTGAACAGCTACACTGTGCCCTGGTTAGTTTCTGAAGCATTGAATTTCACTTCTTGAAGACATATTGTGTGTTTTCTTCTATTTTCTCAGGGAAGTGCTGATAGCTCTTCAATTCTAAGGTTTTGGAAACAGTGGGCTGGATGAGTGAAAGCAGACATCTGAGAATTAAACTTCTGGAGTCTATTTACCTTGTTGTATAGGGTGAGGATATGGGAAACCAGATAAATGGGATGGACAAGATGCGGTAGGAGAAAAAAATGCAGCTACAAGGAAGAACATAATCAGAAAAGCAAGGATCAAATCACCCTTCTTTTTCCCCACAAGATGTACCTGCTGGTGGGCTGTGTGACCAACCACAATAGCATACCCTGTGTTGTCTGTGGCGATCAGCTCAGTGCCTCAACTTCTGCATTTCACAGTTAATGCTCAGTTCTTGTAAAATGCTGAAGCAGAGAAGAAACCCCACAACTGCTACAACTACTGCTGAACAATAGGAGAGATCAAGGACATCATTAGTGTCCCATGTCCTTGCAACAGCAAATAGTTTTTAAGATAGAATTCCCAGATAACTTGAAAACGTACACTGCATCCTATTTTATAAGATTGTTCTCCTCCACAGAAACTCAACAATATCAGTTGGATTGAGCTTGAGAAACTTTCATTCTCATCTCAACTTTTGGCAAGACTAAGCCTACCAACCAGCTGTGTTGTAGCCAAATTTCCAATACGTAAAAGAAGGGTAAAGGAGAATAGCAAACTAGAAACCAGAACAAGCCATCTGATACGCAGGGTAAAAACTTTTCTTCCTGGTTCTTTCAGGTGCACAGCAGAATGGCATTGTAAAATGCACGTGAGTGCAAGCAAACTGGACCAACAGTGATCAAAACTACTTCCAAACAGAACAGTATTGGATATACACATGAAAATGTATTTTCAACTCATTTTTGTGAAGAAGGGGCTATTTCAAAAGCACATTTCATGACAGTACTAAGGAAAGACCATGACTTTTTCAAATCTTAAACCTTGGAAAATTCAGATTTGTATTTAGATTTAGATGTAAATTTAGATATCGACTTAGCTCACCTACTGTTAAATTATAACATTATATAACATGACTTTCTGATCTTTTCCTCTCTGTTCTCTTTTACTTGCTTTTCCTTCTGTATTCTGTTTGTGAATTTCCTGTGAAATACTTCTTTTTAATCAGTAATTTTAAAGTGTTTTCAGTTTTACTTTTCCATGGTTTCTTTTTCAAATATGGGGTTTTAGTATTTCAGCTACAGAGTCTGATGATAGTGATGGTGGTTGTCACTTTTTGAGCCAGTTAAAAGATTTGACAAAAAAATCAAGAAGCTAAAGAGCCTTAAAAGTTGCATTTTTAATTGACTGTGTGTTCACAACTTCGGCATTTTTGTTTTCTTCTTCAGTCCTCAGATTGAGCTGAATAACTAACCACTGTGTATTGATGTATCAGAAGATTCTGTTTAGAAATAAGAAATTCAGAGGATTCTATAACAGCAGCAGTGTATCAGAGACCTCTTGTTTATATTTAAGCCTAGTGGTCAGCTATTGCTTAATGCCACCACTTTTTGACACTGAAGGTCTGATGCCATTTTCCAAGTGACTTATGGAATCAGCACTGCAGAGATGTGAGGGGAGCTGTAATTGACAGCAGACAGAAAAGATTAATTAAGTGGAACTTTTAGAAAAATAACTCTTCTACATTCTGCTTCTCTTTTGTAGCACTTAAAGTGAGTTGATAAGATGGTAAATATATGTCATTAATACTATTGCCACCCCTGCTTCCGGTAACTTTTGAGTTGCTGTTATTGTTGTTTTTCAGATTGAGGAAATACGAGGCTGAATTTGGGAAGTGAAGTTGACAAGCTGACAGGAAGTTAACACTGTGCTGATAAAGGCAAGTAAGGTATGTTGGGCTGTCTTAAGCACAGATGCTACTTCTGAAAATATGTAGACACTAAAGTTTAGAAATTATCTGTTTCTGTACCTATTCACTCTAGTTCATGCCAGGCAGTTTGCATCAGTAGGTGGATGCCATTTTTAGTAGGAAATTAAGGGAGCCACCTGGCTTCACTGTGTCCCCATTCTTTCATGACATTACCTTTCTTTAATTCTGGCAACCACAAGAAAGCACCATATCTTACTACAAAGATATTTACATAGCAATCACATTAGTTCTTACATAGAAATACTTAAATTAGCCTCAAGTTAATTAACATTAGTCAAATACTCCTATCAGTATGGGTTCAGCAGCAAAGAATTCAACACAGATTAATTTTCTGAATTTGCTTTCCAGGCAGGCACACAGGTAATCTGTGCCAAGCTCTGTAGCTTCAGTGCTTGCAGTCTACATATTTAAGTATACCTTCATAGGATACAGTCATGCCTTGATGGAAATGTAGGGATGCCCTATTAGACTATATAGCACCAAGCAGAATAGGCTTCTCTCGTGGTTACAGCCTTTTACTGTAACTTTGAAATACTTAATATAGCTGACAAATTTTGTAATTATTTGTGTCTGGAATTTTATGAAAGGAAGTCTAAGTTCCAATAGCATAAAATTAGATGAACACTGAAATTAATTTTTCAATGTATCAGCAAAGCAATACCACTAACATTAATGATTGGAAACAGCAGGTTGGGACAAAGTTTTGAGGTACATGTATAGAACCAGTGACTGCTGAAAAATAAATAAGCTATTAACTGTAAGACTGTGGCAGTCATTTAATTTCTTGCCATTAGCAACGTACTTCCTAAAGAGAGCTGGCTAAAATATTTGTTGCCTTGGAATAGTGAAAATACTTGTGTTCAGGAAGGAAACACTAAATGGACAGTCTTGAAAAACTATCAACCAGAAGCTGAAGGCACATGACTAATAGTCTAAACTAACTGGCTAGGATGACCTTATGAAATTGGAAAGTCTCTTGCTGACTTCTACACTTAACCCAGTTTTCTGAACTGAGTGCTGTGAGATAACTGAGGGATTTTTGAGAATACCCCCAAGCACTGTTGAGGCTTTCACACTGAATGCTCACGGATAGAATGAACTAGAAATACCCATGTGTTACGATAAAGCATAAGTTGCAAAAGCTATCGTATGCCATGAGTTTGTGAGCCAGAACATTTAGAAGTTGCTGTTGCAAAGGGAACTAGTTGCAGCTTAACAGTATTAGAACTGGTTTTCTTAGATGTGGTAATAATGCACTCATTTTCATGGCCTTTCTTGGATCCATGAGTTAATGAGATTAGTCACAGCAACATTTGCTTAGAAAATATTTTCTAAAAGAAGTTTAAGGGAAAAGACCCTGGATCATCTATGCTCTAAATGTAAAGGCTTAGGATGAGATACTTCTCATATAATCTTAGCCAATTAGAGTATAAAAGTTTATGCTCCCCTTATAGCAGAAAGTGTAAAGTAAGTGGGCTGAATTGCCCTCCAGAAGTGTCATTCTTCTCAGATGCCAATTTTGGAACTGGAAGAATTGTCCTATTGAAGTCTGAGAATTTTTTCTCCTAGAGAGTGCCTGTACAGCTCATGAGAATGAACACCTAACTTCATTCTGGCTGGACAGGTTCATCATGACTGAAAACCAAAATGATTGATGGAGACTTTGGGTTTGGAGTGTGTGGGCAAAGGTGAGGGGAGAAGGGAAACTAAAACCCAGTTCTTATGTGGTTTATGCATTCAATAGTGTTTTCATTATAAACAGGAAAAGGTGAAGAACTAATTATACAAAATGAAGCCCCATGTTTGGAAGCTGTGCTCAGCAGGCAGAGCTCTGTTGACTTAACCAGATGAAATTCCTGCAGAAAGCCTTCTCCTTTGCCAGTCGAGTAAGTCTAATAGCCTTTCAGGCTAAAACAAACTTTTAAGGATTTGTAACAACAGCTTACTATGGTACTACAGAGACAACAACATGTCCATAAATTGAAACTAGTCATCTGACAGTGCCCACTTGTCTGACCTACTTTCTGTCTGTGCTCTGGAAGGAACCACAAGAAGCAGATTTGGGGTTGACAGAAAAAAGGGACAGTTAGAGTGGCAGGCAAGGAGGCAGAATATGAAATAGCTTGCACACACATTGTATCTCATCTTGTATAACCAAAAGAAAATGAGTGAGGGGAATGATGAAAGAATACTGGTGTCTGATGAAACAGAAGCCCAGAAGAGTGTTTCCTTTCTCTGGCTATCACCAGTGGCTGATGTGCGGGTGGCTATCTAAAGAGTCATTGTAAGAATCTCACTGCTTTTTATCTTCCTAAGGTGTATGGAAAAAATAGTCTGTGTTATGAGAAAAGCTTCTTAAGTATTCGTGTTCCCTTTGCCAAATGTTGCTATCCCAGGAACCAGGACGGCAGAATGTGTGTCAGCATGTCAGTCATCCCAGTCCACAGTCTGGTTCACAAGGTGGATTTTGTTTATCTACCAGACAATGAGATGGAGCAACTAAAGCATACTTTGCCATGCTGGTCTATGTAGCTAAGCATTGCCTTTTTGGCCTCATTGAACCTGTAGCTGAAGGTTGAGCCTACGTAGTGTGAGCTACTCAGCCACATTCTACACATAGCAGCCATAACAAAATCATACTGGATGTTGGTCTGGAACATCTGGTTTATAACATGTGCTGAGTGGATAAAAGTAAGTGGTTTCTTGAAATCCCTGCTCTTTCTTACTAAGGCAGAATATCTGTTTTGCTCACAAGCTGAAAGCTAAAAGGAAGACCTGGACTCTTTCTTTTTCTTTGAATTGAAAACTCAAGCCCCTTTTTTTCTTAATAATTATGTTTTTTTCCTGTTCTTTGCAATTACTTGTGGCAAATATCCATGGCTACTTGTTAACCTGCTGCAAAAACTATTAAAAGTCTTACTGAGGCTAGGAAAATTACTACTAATACTAAAGCAGCCTAGTTTGTAGCTCTGCCAATGCACATCCTGATCTGCCCTGGCTTTTGACATTCAGGAAAATGATTAACTCGTAAACTTGTATGGTTTTCCTCATGAATGAATTCTGCAAGAGATACATGTGTAATTACAGCTTCAATGCGTAGACAAGACAAATATGTGAACGTTCAAAACACCATTATGTTCTCCAAAATATTTACAGGTCAGGTAAATAAAGTTATGAAAAACGTAGATTCCAACAGGCCTACGTGTGAAGGGAGCCCTTGAAGTCAGTGAGAGCTGTGCACTTGGACCTGGCACAGTACATAGCACTCAGTTCTGAAATAATTGGGCAATAAGACACAGTGACCATGTGAACACAGTAATTAATACACTCAGCAGTGTTTATGTGATGACTGACCTCTTGCCAGAACTCAAAACAAGAGCTGTGCCAGTCAGAAGTTCTAGAGTAGGGAACAGGAATAGCTAATGTTCTCTCTGGATTTCCAAAGGGGAAAAGGTGTTTCCACACTGGGAGGACATGAGCACTGCTCAGCTTCCCTTCCCCTGAGGATTGCTGTGTGCTGCCCTGTTTCCAGCATCGTTTCCTCTTCCTTCCTCACCTACTCAATGGACACACTAACTGTTGGGGAACATGGAGGCACTGCCGTTCTCTGCAGCTGTTCCTAAACTAATATAAAGCCTGGCTTATCGTAAGTCAAGTTTTAATGGACATTTTTCTTTAAAGCATTCTCTTGCTTTGGTATTTGCACTGCTATTGCATCTTAACTATATGAGGGATGATAACCATAGCTTTGCTAGTTTTTTCAGCTTTGCCAGTGAAGTAGGTGATAATATGGCAGCTTTCTTTAAAATCTTTAAAAATGTAAACTTGAGTCTAGGCTAGAGAAAGCCTAAAGAGGGAAGAAAGGGCAATTGGGGAGAGATAGAGAATTTCACCTTCTAGAACATCTAAAAACTAAGATAGTCTGAGGCTATTAGCATTTAACATTGTTTATAAGGCCTACCTATAATTAGTCATTGCTTTTATTCTGTCCTACAGCTGACATACTGTAAACAGGTCTGATGGGCTAATTAGCAGTCTCAGAGGCCAGAGGATGTCTGTGAGGGTCAAACTCTCTCTAGCGAGTAGAGGTTCTCCAGGGGTGGGAGCATGGCATGGTTGAAACATTTGAGAACAGGTCACATCATATTCTATATTGTAGCTTTTCTATGGGTCAAGATAAGCTGCGTTCGTTAGATGGCATCTCTTTGTTTTCTTTTTCAGTTCAGATTAGGCTGATGTCAAACATGGACTAATGTTTTACATACTAGTTGCTGAAGTTGTTCAGTTGTTGTTGAAGTGGCTAATGCTACCTTACACAGCTAATTGAAATACTAGCACTTTTGCTTCTGCAGTGAGAAAGAAGGCAGAGCCAGGCAGAGAACTAAGAGGTTGATTCTGCTTCTTTTAGATCTAGCAGTTAAATGTCTTTGCACAGCAGACACTTTACATCCTTTTTCATGATGTCAACTCTGCACTGCACACACTGAATCTCTCTCATAAGTGACTGGAGAAACGTCTCCAAGGCTGTCCTGTTGATGCTTGAGTTAACAAACTGTAAAGGTCTGATCCTGCGTCTTTGCTTTTCTTAACTAAAACCATGGCAATCTACATCCACGTTTTGCTGGTTTATATGATGAATGAAGTGTAAGCAACAGATGGACTAGTTTTGTAGCAATCTTATGGCTCTGAACTTTTTTTCATTGCTATTCATTTTATTATGCCTTGAGTTCATCCTAGTGCCTTGATTCAGTGCAGTAAGCTCTTATTGGTATATTGTTGATTCCCGATCTAGCAGTATCACACCAACCTGCAGAGTTTTATTAGCAAAACCAGAACACTGACAGATCAGGACTCTCCTTCTCCATCCCTAACAGAAAGCAGGTGCCTCCTTATTAATGTATGGAAAATGTCCTTTAAAAATCTAAAAAAAAAAAAAGAACCAAAGAGACCAAGGACCTAGCTTTTATCAGAAGTGACCTGAAACACAATGGAAAAGAGGAAGTCCCCTCCCATACTAAAGGCATAGGGTTGGTCACTTAGAGACAACCTTTGTGGTGGTGATTGGAAGGCTTTATAGGCAGGACTGGAAGCGTGGGAACTGGGCTATGAAATTTCTGGGCATTGGTCTTTCCATTAACTGGTCATGTAACTGGTCATGTGTGAGAAACACTTGGCAAAATCACAACAGGGAGAGCTCATAGCCTATTTTCACCTATCCTTTTTCTCCTTTCTTATGTTGAATCAAATGAGGAAGGTCCAATCTCTGAGTTTGCCCTGCTTTTCCCTTCATGAGAGGAAAGCAATCAACACTAGCTAACTAAAGGGATTGTGTTTTGTTATTCTTTTTAATCCGGGTTTGTGGATTAGTCTTAACTCGAGCCACAAAAGACACCAAAGATATACTGCCTGATATAAAATGACCAACATTGACTTCTATACATATCAGATCTATACAGATATTTCTCTGTGTTTGCTGATTCATACAATGCTACTCCACAGCACAGAGGTTTCAAACAATACCCCAAATGTGTTAACCAAGCTCAACAGCAGCTTGCCCGCTAAACCCGCTGAAGTCTCGTGCTAATCAGCAGGGGTTGGCTGCTAAAATGTCATTTGCACTATTCCTTAGCAAAGATACTGAAGGTCATCATTTTGTGCAAACCTTAGTGTTGGCAGACAGACAAAATAATCCTAAGAGCTGGCCTTGGTAAACTGAGATGAGCCTCCAGAAAGGCCTTTTAATAAGGTCCATCTAATGTGTATGGACTCTCTGTCATTAGTGGGATATTCAGGATGAACATTTTGATAAGGGTCTGGAAAAAAATTGTCTACAATGGACTCGTTTTTTTTAAAGCGTATCTTTAGGCCCTCAGGGAACCCAGCTGTTTATACTAGTGTCCAGAAACTGCTGCCAAGGTTTTGTTGGTCTAATGTAAGAAAAAGGAGCATTAGGTCAAATGCTCGTGTTACAGCACTGTAGAAAAAATATTTATGAAGGCCTTATGCAGGAGGTTTAATCCACAGTTATTTTTGTTTTGTTTTGATTTTTAAATAGAACTTAAAGTAATTTGAAACTTTTCTATAAATATTGTAAAAAATATAGTATATCATTTTTAAAAAAATTACTTCTTCACAGGATAGGAGAATATCTAGGCATGTGGTTGAGGTTTAACTTCAGAATCTCGTACTTTATGATGATCTCAATTCAGGAACTGTTTCTCAGCCATAGAGAAAATGTCCCACACTTGCTGACTGTGGGACAGCCTAATGACATAGACGGTCCCTCCAAACTTGAGTCCTGTTGCAGCAGATGCAGTCTTGTGTATCTTGACAGTGAGTGAGACAGTGAGCTGAATCAGTTGAAATGATTCACTGTATAAATTCTTGCACTTAAACACTCTTTCAGCGTATAAATTCTATACTGGCTTTTATGTCAATAAGTTAAGCCATATGATGATTTAACCCTGTACTCTGCTAGTAGATCCTGAAGCAGGCTTAAAGCACAGATACTTTACCACTTCACAACTAGCAGTGCTATGATTAAACTGGCTGCCTGCAATGTTGGTGGCTGGGGAAGGAGCAGCAAAAAGCCTGTCAGTAAACAAACTTTATTAATAGAAATCTTATCACAAATGTCAACATATAAAAGCAAATGTGACATTAAAATGCATGTGTTAATTCACGTGGATTAATTAAAACTTTTTATAGTTCAAACAGTATCAAATTTGGAGGAACAGCAACAAGCAATAACTCTGTTTAGCTGTCATTTCCAACTATTTAATGCATGTTTCTGAAACAAAATTAGTTCCATGTTTGCTGCACAGACTGACTTTGGTGCATGAATGACATGTTCAAGCACCTGCACTATGCAGAAGTATCTCCTTGG